GACACGATAAGACTGGGAGGAATGAGTTCGAAAATCCTGACTCCTATGAGATTGGTAGAATTTGGCTTCATCTAGATCTTGGACTAAGGCGTAAGCTCTCTCAAGGGTGTCTACTCCTCTAGTAAAGAGTTCGGTTTGGAGGTCGCTTCTTAACCCAGCTCTAAATTTTGATAAGACTTTCATCGGTGCCTCTGGTTCAATGGTGCTGCATCGAGTAAACAATTCATCAAATTGAGCAACGTATTCTTTTGCAGATTTGGTTCCCTGAGTAAGACAATGTCACTTATCTAGCAATCTATAAATAAACGATGGCAGGAGATATTTCCGTTTTAGTTCGTCGGCCATTTCTTGCCAAGTATAAATTGGTAACTCGTCTCTAATATGCCTTATCATTTCGAAGTTAGACCAATATTGGCAGGCGGGTCCAGTGAGCTTCATTGTGGCAAACTTGACTTTCTGGGATTCTGTCAGGACGTACCAATCGAAGTAGCGATCCATGCTCTTCAGCCAGTCAAAGAAAGTCTGTGAGTCGAGCTTACCATCAAAGGTTGGTGGATCAGGCACAAGTTGAGGTGGGGGTCGATGAACGATATACCCATGACCTTGCGGTGGGTATCCATAGCCTTGACCTCGAGGCGGAGTTGTAACCCGCGTTTCTTCTAACCTAGCACGTCTCTCATTGGTGTTATTCAGGGTCTCGCAGGTAGCTCTGTTCTCATGGGTTAAGTTACTTATTTGTCCATTTAACTCAGCGATTTGCTTAAGAATTTCGGAGAATTCGGGATTTGCACTGCCTGACATACTTGACTCACTAATTGATCCACTTGATTCTCCTAATCGATAGGTAGACTTGTACGAGTGGGCATGCACTAACAACTAGATGATATGAATGAGTGCACAACAAATTTTTTTTAATAAAGACTCAAAAAAATAGAATCGAGGATACATTAATGATGTAGTAAATATTGGGCGTCATATCAGATGATGTTCATACATAATGTAACATTCTAATAAGTAATCTAAACATATTTAATAATTTCTAAACATTAGAAATTACATCATGATATATGTTTAGAATTGACTAACTCATGATATATGTTTAGAATGACTAACTCATGATATATGTTTAGAGTGACTAACTGATTGTAGAAGCTTGTTTCTCGATCGCATCATGAACCTTGCAAGTACATAACCTTCAAAGAGAGAGGGCGGAGATAGAGGGCAGAGACAGTGAGGAAGAGGGAGGGAGGGGGGAGAATTTGCGTTTTTTTGTGAGATCAGTTGTGATTTATGAAGCAAATGGAGAGTTTTATTTGGTATCTAGGACGGGTTGGAAACCCAAACACACAAAAAAACATTATTGGATGATATCTTCACCATGAAATATCGGCCGATATTGAGAATATCAGCCATATATTAGAAAAAATTTCTAAAAACTGAATAGCGCTTTACACCTATAAATATTGGTGCAAGTTGCTGTAGGATATACCGACTAATATATCAATATATCAACTGATATATTATACACTACCTAATCAAGCTAACGCAACAAAAGTCCCATATCTCCTCTCATCAATATGTTATAAACATACAATAAATCTCACCAAGACCAAAAAAAGAAAATCATGACCAACAAGAAACAGGGTGATAACTGACTGAGTCTTCTCGGTAAGTATAAGTTGGGTCATCTCGTGAGCTATGACACTTACGTTAAAGTCTACTACTCTTGCTCCTTCTCTGACTCATCATTTATCGCTGACAAAGTCCTCAACGAACCGAACCCCATAAACTTTGGGGTCTCTCTATTAATCCTCCGTAAGGTCTAGATGATGTGTCGCATTGTGGATCACCTGAACATTCTCAAATTGCATGAAGTTATGGCCACGAAATCCTAGATTCACCTCATTATGGAGAATGAATTTGGCAAGCTATTCTCTCACCTTGCTTGTCGTAGCCGGATTCTAGAACCTTGTTTTAGGATGATACTCCGCAGTTGATCTCTACACTTCACTTTTGTCGTGTGCACGACGTGTCGCATTGCGATGTAAACCCAAGAATCTTATCCTAGATTAGGACAACAACCTCAAACTCTTCAATTTCACAGTCTCAGTACTCCCTGATCAGCTTCGAATTCAACGGACTTCTTCATACTGCGTATAGGACGCCGACTTATATCGCGTCGGAGGTTCTTTAATTTAAAGGCTACGACGACATTAGGATGACGCTTGGTCTTATACAGTAATGCTCTACGTTCTTCCTAAATTTTTACATTTGAATGAATTTTAACATACCCTCTGTGCAGAAAACTCAAGAATCAGGCTTATAAAATCCTCGACCGATTATCACAATCAGTGAAGCGGGTTATCAATAAGCTTTTGGATTAGGACTTGAAAACGAGGATTCTAATGAGAGTTTAATGGATATACCTTGGATTAGGAGAGCTTATTTCTGGATAAGCATCTTAACTTGCTATCATATACGCCCTCGGTGTCTGCAACAAAATAGATAGACATATTTTCTAGCTTCATAGCTACTACTTCGCTGCCATCATGAATTCTTTTGATATATTCGATATAATATTGATGTTGTCGGGTTGAATTAACCGGGTTGTTCAATAAAGGAAGGAGGAGGCGAGGAGGTTTACATCTATGACAATTATTGAGAAGATATCGGCGAAGAGTGAGGTTGGGAAGAAGTTTGGTATGATTGAGAAGTGAAGAGTGTTGTAGGAAGAGAGAGATAGGGGGAAGGTGCTCTTTTTGGCAGGCTATGCCTTGTGTAAAGTAAATATTCATATGCTTGGCAATAAGGTACTTAAAGTTATTCTTACATCATATTTTGGATGGAAGTAATATCAACTGTAAATTATTAATAGCATAAACACTCATTTAGACTTCTGTTGTACACTCATAACACCAACCTGAAAACCCACGTAAGCATCTGGTTCACCAATACATGTTAAGTGAACACACCGATAGCAACATGAAACAGAGGGTAGCAATGAAATGAAGAAGAAGGTTATGTAAAGGAAATGGAAAAATAAGAAAAGTAAAATGATACTTTTGCTCAAACTTTTACCAATATTCAAAAGAATGTTTATAAATGCACCTTGTTTAAAATGCACTTAGTAATGATCATTCCATTTCTTCCACATACTTGAGTTCAAAACTAATCGTACTTTTTATACTTTAAAACAATAGTAAATATAAGAAAAAATGCCTTAACTTTGGACAACTATTGGAAAACCCCCCCTTAACTTTCAAAATATCAGGAAACCCTCTTAGGTATAGGAATTATCGCAAAACCCCACTTTAACTTTCAGATTTTATCAGAAAATCCCCTTTAACTTTGAGATGTTATTAGAAAACCACCTAATTTAGGGGGTTTTCTAATAAAATCTCAAAGTTCAAGGGGATTTTCTGATAACCCCTAAGCTTTTTCTAGTATTTTGAAAATTAAGGAGGGTTTTCTCATAAATGTCCAAAGTTAAGGGGGTTTATGATATTTAGCTTTAAAAGAACATCTATCCTGGACACTAACCAAATTTCCTCAGTCCCTAGCTTTAAGCGGCTCCATTCTAATTCAATCAACTTTTTAACATGCCAAAATTGGATTAAACTTTTTGTACTTCAATTTTTACAATTCAACCAAATTTAGACAACCTTCTATTTCACTTACAGATATTCCCTAGTTTCCCACCTTTATCGCCCCGCTATAGTCTTGGCAGTACTCAATAATTCTCTCGTAACAAACATTCTGACAAGATTTCTTTCTTCACTCTTTAAAATTATATTATAATTCAAGTTACAAAGTTAAGAAAATTCTAGTACATTGTTTTCGTTATTTTTCTCTGTACAAATTTGCTATTATTTTAAATTTTTAATTCCATATCTAAAATGTGTTGCTCATTTTCACCAGTAAGTACTCTCAATTCTTTTACTCACATGTTTACTATTTTGCATATTATATATTTTCGTACTTTGATAATTTTAGTCATTATGTTATTTTCATCTCTTTCCCTAAGTGTTAATTTTTTCTATTCTTGTTTAAAGTTAAATTGTTAAATAATTAATTTGAAATAAAATGAGTAAATCTAATGATTTTTTCATTATCTTTGATATTTAATATCACCGGTTTTAGACCTTATAAAATAAAATATTTATTAAATATTTATTACATTCACTTTAAGATGCTTTAATATATAGCTTGTTGTTGCATCTAAACTTTAAAACTCATAAAATATTCAAATCTTCATTTCTTCATGATTTTAGTTTGGAGATAGTCATTGGTGCTTTTCGCTGCTAAAACACCATTGTAAAGCTTAAACCTTGTCACCCTGCATCTACTACTTTTCGCTTTCTGTAACATTTTGACTTATGTAGAGATTGTACACTAAGGTGACCAGAATAATGGCTTATTAACAAATACTACAACAAAGGAATGTTGCTTTACTTGGTTCTTCATTAGTTCAGACCTTGTAAGTTAAGTATATGAGAATATAAATTAACAACCTTTAATATACAACTATCTTAGATATGACCAATTATTTCATAGCTATCAGCATAATGCTGGCTCCAAAGCACTCTCACTATTTTTTTGTTTTGATTAAAAAATGACCCAGGGGAGAAATCAGATGAGCAGTGAGTAAGAATGAGCAGTCAAAATTGGTTAAGTATACAAGTGATCAAGTTCCGTTTATCCCGAATGAAAGGGAAAATTTATCAGATCTTTTTATCGAACTAATAAATGTACAATCACATTCATATTTGCGTCTTCTCCTTATTCACAATATATACAATGAAATATGTGCATTAGCTCATGGAAATGCATTTTTTGTCATGGATTTGATAACTTAACTTTATACAATCAACAAATATTAATACCTTTGGACATTGGTATACCCTTTCAAATTCAAGTTTGATAAAGATTAACTATAACGCATTGAATTAAGCCCACTTCTTGAGAAATTTTAGTAAACAGGAAACAAAAAAAATACGTACTATAATCCTTCATGAACTTCTTATGGCGATCGTAAGCATTGAGGCCTCTAATATGAGACTGATACTGCCTGCACAAAAAACAAATGAAAAGAGAAAATTGATTAAAATTCAAAATTTTTGCATTTGAGTAAAGAAATGGAGTGAAAGATGAGAAAGCAGAAGAAGCTATTTACATTTTTCTCTCTTCTTTTTCAAAAATTGCAGATTTTAGTGATCCCAACGACGCCATTTCCTCTTTCTTTCTCTTTCAGCTTTCCTCGTTCTTCTTGGATAAAAAACCCTAGCATTTGGTCCGCGATCGAGGTGGTCATTAGTTGAATACGGGTCGGATCTAAAAGGTGATGCCACATTGCTACAAATCCAACCCAAATGCCACAGGTATTTGGACTTTTGGAAACGGTTGCTTTTACCACTAAGGCCCCGTTTGGTAAGCGGGAATGGGGTGGAATAAAATGTCATTCTCACTTCTTATTCCCTCATATTAAACAAAACTTGTTTTTAGATGTTGGAATGACCATTCTCATGGAATGGTCATTCTCACTTTTTGTGGGAATGGGCATTCCAAGTGAGAAGATAGCGAATGATCATTCACATTCAATGGGAGAATCAAATTAGTTAGGTTTTTTTCAATTATACCCCTATTAATAATAAGAATCAATTTAAAAATCATGGCTTTTGACTACGTATTCTCATTTTCTCTCAGTTACTAATTATATTCGAATAATATGAATTTTTTGCGGGGTATGGATTAAAAATAGTGGTACATATTTCAGTAGCATATTAAAATTAGCGGTACATATTTCATTAGCCTATTATATCATAATTGCTCAACATAGGAGCAACACAATTTAATATAAAAACAGATACAACTAAAACTATATATTATTTGCCGATTGAAATTCTTTCATGTCAATATTTTTTTTGGTCAATCAAATTTTTTTGTTTATTCACCAATGTTTAAAGTCTGTTATTTTCACCAGCATATTATATTCTTTTTAAACTTTTGCTATTGTTTTCCCACCATAGAGAACTATATGTACCCATTGCGTACATGTTTGATTGTGGTTCATGCACAACAATAAATCTAACTTTTGGTTGAAAAATATTTGACCCAATATTTATGAAAAGAGGAAACTCTCTCTGAGAAATTGGCCAAAATATTAAATTATCACAACCATATCATGTCTAGACTATATATAGAGGTATAAGGGCATTATTATAACACATACCTAGATTAATATAACATATGCAGAAATAGTGAGGATTGTTTAAAAAATATAAACGAAACATACACTTGATCGATAACATGTGCAGTAGTATAACACATACCTAGATTAATATAACACATGCATAAATAAATTTTTTAGTTATTACCATTAATGTTTATTTTTATCTTATTAAAAATCTATGTTGTTATAAGGGCATTATTAGAAAATGGGATTCCATTCTCACTTGTGGACAAGTGATAACAAACATGGGAATGAGAATTAGATTTTCATTCTAGCTTCATTCTACAAACGCACCCAAACAAGAGAATGTAAATGACCATTCCATTCTCACATACATTCTATTCCGTTCCTTCTTCCATTTCATTCCCACTTGACTTCATTCCCACGTACCAAACGAGACGTGGGGTTATTGGTTAGGACAAATTGGGGCCAAGTGGGAAAATTATCCCTTTGGGATATTTTGAGTGGAGTAAAGTGGGATAATGTGACAATTTGAGCCTTTTATTTGACAATTCATGAGTGATAATTGATGATGTGGCATCTTAATAAAGCATAATTTTATCTATTAATTACTTTTAAATTAACTTATCCAATTGGTTTAGTATATTATTTAGTATATTATTATAATATAAACATTATTTTACTTTAACTTATCCAATTGGTTTAGTATATTATTTAGTATATTATTATAATATAAACATTATTTTACTTTATGTTAAAATATAATATGTTGTACTATAATTACTAATTAATAATCATTAATTATTATATTATATTATATTAGCATGTTATACAATATAATAATTAATATAATATAAGATCAATATATTTAATATAATAGATTATTTTATTTATATAATACTTTAATAATATTTTAATAATATATTATTTAATTTATATAATACTTTAATATGCTTTTGAATCTGTTACAACTTCAAGCGTTATAACAAGAATCGATAAAAAGTCGGTCTTTTTATAAGACCTCCTTGTGCAACAAAACAAAGATTACAACTTTTCGAAAATAAACACGAGATCCCGTTTTGGTGCGGTCTCGCTTGCGTGGGTCTTTGGCCTGTGACGGGGATGTTGATATCCGTGGACCACCGGGGCAATCAGATCCGGTCCGGATAAATCGGACAGAGTTTCGTCGATCCGCGTGAGATCTAGAAACTTTTGATCCAGAAATATCGGACAGAGCTTCGTCGATCCGCGTGAGATCTAGAAGCTATCAGCGTATACCTCGGCTAAAGCGAGGTATTAGCTCTTCTTAGTATCAACGCTAAAGGCTAATACTAAGGAAAGAAGGGGGAAAGAGGGTGATGAAGGCTGATGTCGACCTCTCCTCCTTGGTTGAAGCGCTCGATGACTCTTTGCTGCAGCAGGGCTTCGCCAAGGCTCTCCAAAATTCCTCCCCTCAAAACAAAGGGTCAATGGGTCTATTTATAGGCATATGAGTGTCTCCACAGATCTGAGACACCCCTGGGGTGTCTCCACAGATCTGAGACACCCCTGGGGTGTCTCCAGGAATCCGAGACACCCTTGGGGTGTCTCGGATTTTCCGAGACACCCCTGGGGTGTCTCGGAATTTCCGAGACACCCCTGGGGGTGTCTCGGAATTTCTGAGACATTCCGAGGTGCATCCGATTGTTTTGCCCGTAGATTCTTCGTCCGAGCTCGGATTTGAGTGATTCCGGGTGCGTTGGATGCTTGACGAAGAGTTCGATCCGCTCTCGTGGTTGGATTATCTATAGAGTGGTCGAGGCACGAAGGGCGTTGTCCTTTTTGTGAACAGTGCCGGGTTCCCGATTGGTCCGGGTCTTGGTTGTTTCGAAACCCTATCCGCTCACGTAGCTCGCCGACTCACTTCAGTCGTTCGTCGACGTCGATTGTGACGTTCATCGTCACTCTTTAACACTGAACCGAGTGTGGAGACCTATAGGCAATTTTCGATGCCTACAGATACCCCCTCCAAAGTGTTCCGGACTCGTTTCTTTTATAGAAGAGGCTGGAATACTTTGGATGTGATTGGTCTAGCCTTCAGTCGGCCTCAGGACCTGTGGTTAGCTTCAACTCTTGGCTCCTTCGATTTTCGGTCTATTCGATGCTTTGACGAATAGCCGAGGTTCTTCCGGCGCTGCGTTTATCGCTTGGCCGTCGTCGGAGTCTCGAGTCTGCAGCTGATGAATTGAGTTTGGCTCGTGTCATTGAGTTGACTTTGAACTACCTCCGCCACATTGTGCTGGCTTAGGGTTTCGGACTACGGTGTGTTGACTTTTTGTCGCAACGCGTTGACCGGCGTTAACCTAAGGCTACGCGTTGACCGGCGTTGACCTAGGGCTACGCGTTGACCGGCGTTGACCCTTAGGGTTTTGAATCGTCAAACGTTGACTTTTGTTGCAACGCGTTGACTGGTGTTGACCTAGGGTTACGCGTTGACCGGCGTTGACCCTTAGGGTTTCGAATCGTCAAACGTTGACTTGTGTTGCAACGCGTTGACTGGCGTTGACCTAGGGTTACGCGTTGACCGGCGTTGACCCTTAGAGTTTTGACTCGCCATTAACACAGTTTATACTCGTACGTTTGCTGGAGTATACACAGTTTAAGCTCTTAAGGTATTGGAGCATCGCGGTCCCGAATGTTGGGGCTGCAGGACCAACTGTTAAAGCTGATTCATCTGATTTGATTAGCCTTTACCGACTACCGTTTGAGTCGGGCTAGCATGCGGATTGTTTAAGTCCGCTCCTATGTGACGTTTAAGCTAAAAGAGTTAACCCTTTTAGTGCTACGATATTGAATACGTAGACTTCGTCTTTCTCACGGGAATAGACTACCCGGCGACGCGTGTTAGGCGTTGACTTTAGGATTTTTGGCTAATCCCCAGCCTTCAACGGATTTGATTAGCCTTTACCGACTACCGTTTGAGTCGGGCTAGCATGCGGATTGTTTAAGTCCGTTCCGCATGTGACGTTGTGCTAAGAGAGTTAACGCTCTTAGTGCTACGATATTGAATACGTAGACTTCGTCTTTCTCACGGGAATAGACTACCCGGCAACGCGTGTTAGGCGTTGACTTATCCCTACTCAGGCTTCGGGATAAAATTCCCCGTGCATCGAGTGCCCGGATTTGACAATCGTGTCTTTTCTAAAAGCAAAGACAGATTGAGAAACGGGAGAGGAAGAATTTTATATTCTATCTCCCGGTGCTGAAGAGGAAGAATTTTATATTCTATCTTCGGCCGGAAAGGGAACTTGAGGTGGGATCCCCCACCCCCAGAATCCGGAATGATGAACTGGGAGTGGGTTCTCCACTCCGAGCATCGGAAAGGTCCGAGGAGAGGAAGAATTTTATATTCTATCTCCCGGTGCTGAAGAGGAAGAATTTTATATTCTATCTACAGCTGGAAAGGAAACTCGAGGTGGGATCTCCACCCCCAGAATCCGGAAGGATGAAACTAAGAGTGGGATCTCCACTCCGAGAATCGTAACAATTCGGATAACCCTAACTGTCGGAAGGTTTGATTACCCGATTTGGAAGTGGACCTCTCGTTCATTGGGGGAATCGAGAGGAGATTTTGGCTGTGGCCCTAACTGTATGAATGTTTGACCAAGCAGGAGTTTGAGACGACCTAACTGTCGGAAGGTTTGATCGCTCGATTTGAAGGTGGACCTCTCGTTCATTGGAGGAATCGAGAGGGGATTTTGGCTTTGGCCCTAACTTTTATAGGTTTGACCAGAAAGCGAAGAGAGTGGAATACGGGTAGCAAAGAAAGTGCCAACCCATATTACCACTCAAAGGGAGACTTTAATGTTAGGCGTTTAGGACCTAGCACGTTGAGTCTGAGAAACGCCAATGACTGGCAGATGGGAATGTTGGTGGGTCCACTGTCGTTTGATTTGATCAGCGGGTGGTTTGGTGAGGGAAGATTAACCTATCAGAGGATTGGATCTCTTCTCACAAAAATAACTCATAAGAGTTAGAGAATAAGAAGAGACATTCTGACCTTCAGGGTTCGAACGTGAATTTCTTATTCACCAATTCCACAATGATTGGGTTATC